AAAAATATTTTCTATATACCAAATTATTTTTCGTCTTGAATCGAAAATACGTTATGCCCGAAGGCCAGAAAACGCCAAGCTACTCATTCATTTATCATGGCCATTGCTCTGGACCAATCAGAAAATAGATCTTATCCTGCTATCCCATTGGATACAAAGTTATTTTGCTTGGTTACGTACAATTCCGTTCACTCAAAATCAATTCACCGTAAAAAAATATAAATTTTCTTATATGACAGGGGAGCAAGACGTGGAAGAGACAATTTTCATGATCAAAATGCCGTTTTCGTGCGGCATCTGATGTATAGGAGAGGATTAAGGATAGCTATAACGTGGGCGACAAACAATGTAGTTGTTCAGATTTTTAAAAATGACAACGCGCTATATACTTAATTTTTCGTTTGAACAATGTGAAAAATAACGTTTTTTAAATATCTAAATGATAGCTTAATCCATGGTATTTGTGTTGAAGAGTGAAGAGACCAATTCTACTGATTGGCGGTCGATATGTTTAATCCTACATCAGCACGTAAGTGGAACGGATATGAGTATAACGTATGAAAATAGTGAGGCAGCTGAAAAAAGGTTTAAAAATAAAGTGAAAGCGTGCGAGCAATGCCTGCCTGCCTGCCTGCCTGCCTGCCTGCCTGGCATGTCTATAGTCAAGTCCCCATGCGTCAGAGGTCTGTGTAACGCAGATTATCCATACCCAAAGCTGCTTACCACAAATACTTTGTATTTTAATATGAGTTTCCTCTTTATGAATATAATTATTATTTTAAGACGACCAAAAGACTGATCAAGCTTTACTCTGTATATGTTAGAGTCGAAAATGGAGTAGAGAAAGCTCACTCCATTTTTGGTAAGATCAATTCCATATTTGGATTGTGCGGAAAAGCGGCAAACAAAAAGGCCGTCGTTTTATAACGAATTCGACATGAACATTTTTGAAGAAGAAAAGAAAAGAAAAAAGAAAAGACAAGTAAAAAAAGAAAAATTTTGGAAATCGAGGAAGGATACGGGGACGCTGAWGCTAACTCGTGGGTGTGCCTCGCAGACAACAGACACAGGGAAATACGACACTCAATGTTTGATATGCATTCTCAGAACTTATTTCTCTCGTTTTTTAATACGCACTTGGCAAATGGATGGATCCATTTCCCCTACTTAAACAAAGCATTATTATTTCTTATATGTCAGTTAATATCGCGGTTTTAGTATTAATGGACCTTATGGAATTCACTTGTGAAAAGAAAGTAACTCTTATATCATACGCATGATTGAGTTTCTCTTTGGCGGGGTGTGAATGTCTGGCGTCAGCACGCATGCGTGGGTTGCATTAATAATAACATTAATAATATCTAATAATACCCTTAACAGTCACGCACACACTTGCGTAAATGAGTTCTTTTTTGCGAGAAAAAAAAAATGGCGCAAAAGATTTTGAAACAGAAAATTGAGAGTATTTCATTCTGGGATTGGTAAACGTGGTGCCCCGTTCTACAGCTCGATAAATAAAACATTGTCTCAGTAGAATATGTGAGCATTAGAAAAGCCTTTATCCACAAAAAATGTCAAAGTTAAAAAGAAAAAAATGTTGAGCCCTTCATTTAGGCCATTTCATTTGCATGTAAGGCTTCTCCCACTTCTACATACCCTGACCATAAAATCCAAATTCAAATATCAATTATGGAACAAGGGCCACAGGTTTGTTAGAACACTGGCTATTAAGTTCAACCCTCTTTTTAGACCAAAAAAACTTCAAGATTGTCTAGATTCTAAACTTCTGTCCAGAACAGACCTATTTACCTAGGGCTTAATTAACGTTTTCCAATTTCAAACGGGAAAACATTACGCCAATGCAAGGTAAAGAGATCTTTTCCATATTCACTCCCCTAGTTCATCGTGGCTTGATAGGAATCTACTATATAATATATAGAGGTCTGTTTGCATAAGTTGAGTGGATTATACGGAAAACATCCTACGCATACTTGTAAATACTCTCTTGTCAAAACGCGATCTTTCCTGTGTAAGGAATACAGCCGTGTAAATAAAATGAGAAAACAAATAAATAAAACGTAATCAAGAGGCCAGGCCTAGGAAAGGAAAGGAAAGGAGAGGAAAGGAAAGGAAAGGAGAGGAAAGGAAAGGAAAGGAAA